ATTTAAATACTCTTTTGGACATCATTTTGTACGCTTTATTAAACAATAAAACTGGAAAGTGGGTTATATAAAAAGCAATAACATAAATATAAACCGTTTAATAACATAAAATTCTGCAATCTGCAGGATCATTTTAATAAATCGGTTCGAAATGATGTTCATTAAATAAATAATTAATTACAAAATAAAATGTCTATGTATATCATAAATTCAGAACCATTGTAGAAATACGTATACACAAATACAAAACAAGAAATTCTAAAAAATTATTAGATACACATTGTTTTTAATATGTACCTAGATGATGTAATGATGAGTATATCTTAAAAAAGTTTTTTAATGTTTTTGAAAAATCTTCATAGCTGCAAATCCTGTAAAAAAAAATGAAGAAAGACTTTTTGTAACTGATCATTCATTTTTATTAATATTTTTTTCACGCAGCATATAATAAAAGTTCTATAATCTAGAAGAATAAAAAACTAATGTTAAACGATGTGCGTTACTAACTGTAAGCACAATTTAATGCTCCGTGATAAATGTATTAATATAGGTTGCAGATTTACAACAAAGGGCTATACGATCAGTATTTCTTGTAATGTCCATCAATAAAGGCTTTTTTACCATTTAAAAAAAATCTAAAGCATTTATTTTTCATGACAGTTAGCGGCATCTATTAAACTAAAAATGAATACGTGAAGTAAGTGTTTGTTCTGCAGCACAAAAAGAAGAAAATTCACTGTTATTTATAGATCACTGTTTATAAATAATCTGTCAGAGTATTGTCAGAGTCACGTCAAAATTATGTCAACTCATACTAAACATTACTGTTAATCGTTTTTGGGTACAAAATAAAACAAAATTGCAGACACTTATCTATATTAAACCAGCATTAGCATCAGAGAAGATAGTTGCATATTGTTTTCGTTAAATCAGATTGAATTGCACAATATTTTTTAACAACTGCTGAATTGAAAACATGGGTAAGTTAATTCTAAAACACTTTAATCGTAAGTTTGCTGGATATTGTGTGTATTTATTTTTATTTTTTCATATAGCTCACATGCCTTACAAAATGAGTTATAACTTCGAAGGCGAATGTCGAAGAAGGCCTGAGCAAAATCTTTCAGGTGCAAGTAAAAATGAGAGTCGAGATACTCTACTACAAAGAGCACATCAAGAAAGACAAAAAAGACAGGTTTGTTTTACTATACTTGAGCTATTTTTGTGTTAATGACAATTAATTTTAGGAACAACGTTTGAAGTTGAAAAGTACCCTCATTCTTCAGTCTTATATTAGGAGTTATTTAGTACGTAAACATAAAAAACAGGAAGAAAGAATAAATTTTCATCAGAGTGAAAGTGTTCTGAATATCAAACCTTTATTGGGGAGGCTATTATTCTTCTACAATTCTAAAATTGATAGTGACTGTTTGGTAAATTAAACTACAAGTTTGTATGATATTCTGGTTTCAAAATTTAATTTTAGGTCAAAGCATGCCAGATATTGCTAGATCAACATTTACAATTAGTACAACAAATGGATGCTGATAATTCATTAAATTGGTCAATAAAAAGGACATTGGCTTTATGTATAAAAGAAATGGATGATAACCCATTAACAGATCTATTTTTACATTTTATAGATACCTATACTGCAAATACAAATTCTGTATCAAAGATTGACATATGGCCTTACTTAATTAGTAAAGGTGAGCAAACAAATTTCACTTAAATTATCATCGTGTATCTCATATTTGAGAAAATGTTAAACTTTGGAAATTTAGCATATAAAGTGAGGTATTTAAAAAAAATCTTTGCAGGTTACTTTACTAAACTAAGATATCTGTTGGAATGCAGAACAGAGCAATTAGAAATTATTTTGAAGCTAATTCATCGACCACTCCTATATGTAAATTCTCTACCATCTCAAAAACAATCAGAAGACATTTGGTCTATGTTTTGTAACAGTTTCTTATCTGCCACAATTACAACACAAATAAAAGATATTCTTATTCCATATTTGAAAAGTGTAAACTTTCCATATGATGATTTTGTTAAATTTCTTTATGGAAGTCAGCGCTGTAATATGGGAAATGCACTACTTTATTGCTTCTTAGTTCTTGAGTCTCCTGGTTTTGGTATGTACAACAATATTTATTAAATAATTCATTGAATTGACTTCTGTTTAGTAGTAGCTTATTTAGAATAAGTTACAAACTCTGCTAAATATTTTTAAACTACAGCAACTAGTTTTAATTAATCTTAATTTACTCATTTGCTTAAATTAATATTTGATTTAATTATCTAGAGCCAACAAAGAAGAGTATAAAGGTATTGTCACTTCTTAGTGCAAACTTGCATCAACTTGCACCTAAAGAAAATTACAATATGGACTATGATAGTGATGAAGAAGATGAAATTATGGAGATTTCAGATGAACCAATTACTTTGCAAGATTACATTCACCTTTTAAATAATTCAGACAGAGTGAGAAAGATTTATACGTATTTTGAAGACCATGTAAATGATGAGGAAGTAATACTTTCTCTGACAAACTTGTCGCAAGATCTTCTGCTATTTTGTAAAGATGCTATTAAGAAATTTGCGTAAGTAATACAAATTGTGTTTAATAGGCATGTTCTTAACATACTTTTTTATTATACAGTCTTGTTTTTATGTTGGCCTTGAAAGGTACATTTTTAAACATACTGTGGCAATGGATTAAGACAAATCAGTCAGCAGTTTATCAGTCAAGCAATGGACTTTTAGATTTCTGGAAAGACATACATACTGCAATATCTGTATTTTGTAGCATGTTTATTGTATATACAGATACATTACTAGATACTGGTAAGTGAAATAAGTAGCAGTAAAAAAAAAAATGAAATTTATGCAGGACATTAATTGTTTTTAGAAACATCAGATACATGTGGTATTTTTAATTCATCAGACTTATGTTGTATGTCAGAGATGCTCAAAAATATGTCAATTACATTAATTGAAATGGCATATCCATTATGTAGAACTACAGTAAGTACTACATACCTAAGTAAGAAATAAAATGGTTTTACAATAGAATTTTATTTCTCAGGGAAACATATCACCAGCAATTCTTCATCTCTATAATACATGTTTAAGCTCAGTACAGAAACTCCACATATTAGATTCGAGAAAGCACTTCTGCAAGCCTGATTTTTGGACAAAAAGAAAAGTCCATATATCCTTGGTTTGGGAACGTAGTAATTATTTGTCAATAAATTTAAAACCGTTCCATGGTTTTATGAGAGAATCTGAAGGTAAATATATATTTAGTAACATGTGAATCTTCATAAAAGTTGAACAAACTCAAGCATACAGTCCATCTCATGTTTTGAAGATAATTAAAATCGTTTGTTTTTTAAGAAAAATCTTTTTCTTTCAAAACTGTTTCAAAATTCTATTGCACTTAATAAAATAAAAGTACTTCTTGTTTCTAAAATATATTAATTTGTTAATGAAGATGTTCTTTTTATATCCAATTATTTTAAAAATATTTGTCCTTGAGTAAAATCAGAAAATAGTAACGAAAAATACAAAAAAAATTAGATAGTATATGCTTTCACTACCCTAATAATCAAGTAAATGATATTTTAAAAAGTAAATACTTCTCGATCCTAATAAAATAGTAAATAATTCTGGAAAATTTGTTTTCTAAACACAGTCAATGTGTGTAAAAATGTGTTAGGGATAAAGTCAAAGAATAAATACTACAACAAATAGCACAACTGTGACTGCTACAACCAAAAACTTTTTCATACCTATTCAGTTTTGTTAGATTTTATTTTTATGTTAGCATATTTAGGTTGCGTACTGAAAGGTTGAAACTAGTTTTATAATAAATGATATCATCCTTCTTTTAACTTTTTTAATATTTTGAAAATAAAGCATTTCCAGAAGTATAACTTGCTAAAACGAATATGCCGTACATCTTTAGAGATAATTATTAATGTACTTGAAAATTAAACATGATTTTTATATTACAGAAGAAAATCAACCACCGTTNTAGCTACAAGCTATCCAAGGATGGTACTATAGAATGTCACCTCAAGGTAGGCCTAGTGGCGTCATCTCTTGGTTAGGCCGGAAACTTATCAATCCACCCTCGTATAACTGTCTGTTGCTTTTATACAAACTAAGTACCACTCTTCTTATCTCCCCTAAAATTTCTATTGCTTAATCCAAAAGAAACTTCTATTGCGCTGTCTTTACCTTCACCTACTGTATTGAAGTTTCCTACAACTATTAGGTTTTCCTGTCCTTTCACTAAACTTAACACGTCTTCTGCATAAACCGCTTCTACGTCTTCATCATTGTAAGATGATGTAGGCATATAGACCTGCACTAATACCGTTTTTACCGGGTTCGGGTTTAATTTAACTATTACTATTCTATAGCTTTGACTCTGACCTTTTTTCTTACGCATTACAATTCCTACCCCCGAATTACCTTCCACCGATCCTGTATGTATTATTCTAAAGTCTCCACTCCAGAAGTCTAGTTTCTGACCTACAGACTTCACTAATGCCTACTATATCTAATTCTAGTCTATTCATCTCAAATTTCAAATTTTCTAATTTCCCTTCTTGCCTCATTGTCCTAACATTCCACGCTCTGACTCCTGAAATATTGCAACTATCGATGATATCCCCTGAGGTAGTCCCCCCCCCCCCGAACATCCGAATGGTGGAGTAATTTACGTTCAGAGTGCTTTACCCTGGAGGACGTCATCATTTGAGTTCGGTTTGTTTTTCTTGGGATATCATAATGTGGTGGTTTCCCGTTGACTGACCTGACTATTGAGTACTAAATGAGCTGCTGCCCTCTTTCAGGGCCTTACCTAAGTCTGGTTTCTCTTTAAGAGCCCTCCCCTCCCATTATGGTTGAACCTATGGTCCGGCTCCCTAAATCATCAAAACTCGCAAGCCGATCCACAAGAGCTACATCAAGGTTCAAGCCCCGTCGGATCGGAAAATCGTTCCCAACGTAGTATAAAATTTAAAAGACTTGTTGATAACAGATGACAAACACGTACATATTTTTGAAGAGAAGTAGACAGCTCGATCGATTTTATAATTGCCAAACCAGCCACCAATTTAGCTGAATCATGTGTAATATGTTACGTGGATACTTCAATTGATTTTGAATTAGCTATCGGAATTTGTGCTTGAACCATTTTGCGCCAACCAAACAATTTTATGATTGTTACTGCATTTTACCTTCGTCAATTTAAATTTTAAAAAGAGAATTATTTAAACTTTTCCGAAATTAATCTTGCGTTTGTTGCTCAGCAAAGGTTTAGCTTGAAAGTGCATTTATGTTACACTATAATTTCTCCGTTATAAATTAACTAACTAGCATCTGATTCAAACTTTCGACGGTGCAGCAATCATGCAGCATGTTTATTAAAAATAAGATAAGGAACACTGTAATGTTTTTACAAAATTGTTTATTGCCTCGACAATATTGTTTTGACAAATTCCAAAATTATTACTTAATTATTAAGTAATATGTGTAACTAGGATTTACACCTAATTGCAAGGGGAGATAGATAGGATCTGTACAGAATAGAATTGTAACGGATATCGACATCCGCAACAGTGGATGATCCGCATAAAGAATGTTAATATACGCACCCTTGTCCGCATCCGCAAAAGTTGAATTATTGAAAATTCGCATTTTGATCCAGATCCGCACGTTCTGATGAGGTCATTTAGGGATCTTTGTTACACTATAATGCTGCAATATGTTGCTATTAAACAAATGTTTTATGTTTTGTGATTGTTTATGCATTAAAATGAATAAAGTAGGTAGAAAGCCATCTTTTCTTTATTTGAAATTGGACTGGAAATCTCAAAATGTATGAAAATAAAAGGATTGAATAACACTTACAATTCTACTAAGTATTTTCGGAGAAAAACGAAATATCCATATCGGCATTGATATCCTCATCCGCATCCGCAAATCTAGAATTGCAATGATCCACACCAGCAAGTTTAACTTCATTAAAGAAAGATTATTAAAGGTGTTCCTATATCTGGAGCGCGGCGCTGTACGGGTGCGAAATATGGACGGTGAGCCCAGCGCAAAAGAAAAGATTAGAAACGTTCGACATGTGGTGTTACCGGTGAACAGTGAGGATACCGTGTATAGAGAAGATTAGAAATAAAGATGTATTAAAGAAAATAGGACAACGCAGGAAGACAGAGGAAATAAGCGAGATAGGTGACTAGGACATCTTCTCAGGACTGAAGGTCCAGTCAGAGACATATTAGAGGAAGAAACAGGAGTTAAGAGAAGTAGAGGTAGACCTAGATTAGATTACTTTTCGCAAATAGTTAAGGATGTGAGATGTTCTGGTTTCAGGTAAATGCGAATGTTAGTTCAGGATAGGAAAGAGTGGAGGTACGTGTCCAACCAATCTTACCACTGACGACCTTATGATGATGAGATATACGCAAACCTAGTACGGTTCATATTTAGGAAGATTAGGTGTATAGGTACATACGTATATTTATATGGAAGGCCTTCTCTAATTATTGAATTTAATGGACATTATTATCATATTCAAGTTCCAAATTCATTGCCGTAAGCCTAGGGCGTTTATCTTCACATCAGTTAACAAATTAGGGTTTACGCTTACTTCCAAAGAGCCTAAGGCACTTTGCTTATTTCGAAACGCTTTCAAAAGTTTTAGTATGTAGGTACAATAATAAAACGTTTTATCAGAAATATTGCGAACATCGAAATTTATACGATATATATTACCTTCCAAAAGATGGAAAACGGTGCTTAAAAATTGAATTTACACATACGTACTAATACTGTTCTTATCTATATATGCATTACTATAATAACTCATTTTTTGTTATTATTCAAAATATTTAAAAACTGTGTCATAGATTTTGATACATATAACAATTAAAAATATTTTTACGATTGCTAGAAATATAAAGCTAGAAGTTTAAAATATGTATGTTCATATTTGTGCATGATGTCTACCAAGAATTGATGGATATTAGGTCTTGATGGGTTTATATATACCTAATATTTTTGACTTTTATAAAGAAATAAAATAATCAAGTCTTATAAATGCTTTCATTTTCAGGATACTTACATCTGTTGATTTACGACATCCACACCTTTGTACAAAAGAATTAAAGAATTGCAGACATCTCTTCCCTTACTTTATAAGACTTTTCAAATTTTCAGTAAATATTAAATATACCACAACTTAATGACAAAAGGTAGGCACTTCATGCAAAAGAAGTAATGGTAATAAACCACTCATTTCTTTCTTATGCTAAAAATTCATT